CCGGGGCCAGGCTGGCCCGGGGCATGTCTGGGCACGAGCAGGCTGCCTGCCTGGCCACACGCTGCCCTGCTGCGGCTGGGTGGCATTCAGGCTGCCAGGGCCCTTGGGCCCTCCCTGCATCCCAACCCTGCATCCCCTGTCCCCTCAGGGACATACCAGGGGGGTCCCCACCTCTGTCCTACCTGCCGGGCACGTCCTGGCTGCTGGTGCCCCAGCACAGCAGGTGCCAGGGAGCTCCCAAGCCATCTGTATCTCCTGGGGTTGCAGCTGCACGGAGGGTGCCCATGCCGTAGGTGAGCCATGCTCACATCGAGCTCTGCGCTTGCAAATTGCCATCAGGTAAATATTTACACCTGGCCGGCAGCGACGGGGAACCCCCGTCAGCAGCAACTTAATGATATTCCGCAGGGGAGCGGCCGAGCACCGACACAACTCGCGACACCGATGTCCGCGGCGCTTCGCGCTCCTCCCGGCGCGGGGCTCACCCCCGGCCGCCAGGTGGCGCGGGGAAAGAGCGGCCGCGGCGCTCTGCCCATGCAACTCGCTGGTAGCGCGGGCAACCGGGGTGGGGAAACCAGGACCGGGCCCGGGTGGGAGGGTTCCGGGCTAACTGGACGGGGGATATCAGGCTGGGAGAACCGGGCTGCGAATGGAGGGTGTGGGTTAGTCTGGACCAGGGGTACCACGACTGAAGCAACCGGGACTGGATGGGATGGGAGAGCCTGGATTGACCTCGCCGGGGGTCCTGGGAAGCTGGAACCGGGCCCGAGCCGGGCAGCCCTGCACTGGGACTGACTGAGGCGGGACAGGAGCAGGACCCTGTTCTGCCCCCACAGCCCCATCGCAGCCTCCCCCAGGATGCTCCGGATCAGGAGTTGGAGCAGAGCCCGGAGTCCCCGACGTCGAGTGTGACCCCCAGTGAGGAGGAGAAGGAGAAGGAGGAAGCCACCCAGGTGAGTGGGCGACATAACAGCCTGTCCCCGCTGCGTCACCGATGCGCTGGGGGGGCTCAGGGCAGCCTGACCCCCGTCCCGTCCCCGCAGTGGGCGGTGGGAGCCGCCTGCCTGGCCGTGTGGTGGGGGGACGGGCTGCTGTACCCGGCCACGGTGCGGGCGCTGGACACCGCTGCCGGCACCTGCCTGCTGCGCTTCGACGGCTACGGCAACGAGGAGGAGCAGGCGCTGGCCGATCTCCTGCCCCCCACACACCTGGGGGCCCAGGGGGTGAGTGACGGCGCCGGGGGGTTTTGCGGTGGTTGGGAGTTTGGGGGGGCTACACTGACACCCACGTGTCCCTGCAAGGTGGAAGACGGTCCCTGTGGGGAGCCCCGGAGGCCAAGACCTGTCCCAGCGTGGGAGCTGCCCCCGGGCAGGAGGAGGAAGAGCAGCAAGGGCGAGCGGGTGCCCCGCTCCTCCCAGGACCCCCACGTGAGTGTCCTGCACCTGCATCTCACTGTGGGGCCGGGGGCTGCCCCAGGGCCACGGCTGCCAATAGACCAGGCACCCCCG